AGTAGAAGTAGCTCTGTGTGGCTGAGGAGTAGTCAGAAGATGGAGCAGAAGAATGCCAAGTCCTATTCCTGGGTCTGAATTTCCAGGAGCAGAAGCCCTGTCCCCTCTAGAAGGTGGATATAGTTTGGATATTTGTCTTCATCAAATCTCGTGTTGAAATGTGACCCCCAATGTTGGAGGTTGGACCTAGTAGGAGGTGTTTAGGTCGTGAGAAGTGGATCCCTCCTAATGACTGAGTTGTTGCTCTTATTGATGTGAGAGCTGGTTGTTTAAAAATGCCTGGCATCTCTCTGGTTCCCTCTCTTGCCATGTGGCACACCTGCTTCCCCTTCACCCTTCCCCATGAGTGAAAGCTTCCTGAGGCCCTCACCAGAGGCAGATGCCAGCAGTGCGATTCTTGTACAGCCTGAAAAACTGTGACTCAAATAAACCTCTTTTCATTATAAATTACCCAGTCTCAGGTATTTCTTTATAGGAATGCAAAACAGACTATCACAGAAAGTTGGTACTGAGGAGTAGGGTGTTGCTCTAAAGATACCTGAGAATGTGGAAGTGGCTTTGGAACTGGGTATCAGGCAGTGGTTAGAAGAGACTGGAGGGCCCAGAAGACAGAAAGATGAGAAGATTTGGACCTTCTTAGAGATGTGTTAAGTGGTTGTAGCCAAAATGTGGACAGAAACATGTACAGTAAAGGCCAGGCTGATGAAGTCTCAAAAATTAACCAGGCATGGTGGCACATGCCTGTAGTCCCAGCTACTTGGGAGGCTGAGGCAGGGGAATCGCTTGAAACCGGGAGTCAGAGGTTGCAGTGAGCTGAGATCACCCCACTGCACTCCAGCCTGGGTGACTGAGCGAGACCCTGTCTCAAGGAAAAAAAAAAACAAAAACAAGAGGTAGATGTTACAGTTAACGGAGCATCATGCAGCTTCATATCTCCTTTTTACTCAAGCTGGGGCCTGTGTTTGGTGTTGAACAAAATGGAATGCTGCACTTAACCTCTCTCCTGATTTTGCTACTACAGAAAGCTTAATGTAAAGGTGGCTGACACTGCTGTCTCCTTAGGCTCTGACACCAAATACAATGAAGAAGTCTCTCCAGCGGAAAACATGGTATGTTTACAGGAGCAACTAACAGCCGGTTTGTAGACATCCCGAGTGGTGGATGACACGCTTGGGTTTCCCAAAGGTTTCTAGTCTTTATATGTCTCCTAGTAGGTGACCAGGTTCGTATGGCTTGTGTTACCAGAGCAACAATGAAATGGCTGCGTCTTTAAATCAGGCCACTTTACAGTGAACTATGGTCCTTAATTGCTATCACATTTCAAACAAGAACTATGACCAATTAAACTTTAATATTGTTGAACTCCCTATGTTGCCTGAACTTTGACTTAAGTTGGTTTCATTTATTTCATAAGAACTCTTGTTAAGGAGTGCACCTTGGTATTTTGGTATTATTCTCTTGATAGTCATAATAACAGTTCCCTAGTGTGCTGCATCCTCTCAAGTCTTAAATGTTTTGTATACAGCCATACATTGAGAATTGAATGGTCTTACTTTGACTGGGTCAGTAAGAACAAAAAATCATTCACCTAGTGTGAAGCTGTGACTTGTGAACTTCATAAGTGACGTCAATAAAGACTTGTGAACTCCATACTGAGACTAAAACGACTTGTGAATGCCATACTGAGACCATTTACAATAGTGAGAGAGTGGCATCAATGCCTAAAGTTTTGGTCAATCTCTTTAAATTGAGAGTCTGACAAAAAGAGGGGAATTGATAAATGGAACTCAAATCTGGCCTGAGGAAGCCTTCATGTTCCCATACTTGAGTTCTTCAGGGTGAACCGTAACATAACTAGTAAGTGGGAAGACTGAAAACCTAACTTACGAGGATGCTTCTTTAGCAATAGCTGAGCCTCAGCCAATCCCACTGGCCACACTTCAGCCACTCACAGGCAACCGACTGCTCGAATCATGCTCAGATAAGGCAAACACCAAGCTGTGTTTGGAGCAAGCCCCCCAAAATCTGGCCATAAACTGGCCCCAAAACTGGCCATAAACAAAATCTCTGCAGCACTGTAACATGTTCATAATGGCCCTAACGCCCATGCTGGAAGGTTGTGGGTTTATGGGAATGAAGGCAAGGAACACCTGGCCCGCCCAGGGGAGAAAACTGCTTAAAGGCATTCTTAAGCCACAAACAATAGCATGAGCGATCTGTGCTTTCAGGACATGCTCCTGCTGCAGTTAACTAGCCCAACCTATTCCTTTAATTTGACCCATCCCTTCGTTTCCCATAAGGGATACTTTCAGTTAATTTAATATCTATAGAAACAATGCTAATGACTGGCTTGTTGTTAATAAATATGTGGGTAAATCTCTCTTTGGGGCTCTCAGCTCTGAAGGCTGTGAGACCCCTGATTTCCCACTTCACACCTCTACATTTCTGTATTTGTGTGTGTGTGCCCTTAATTCTTCTAGCGCCACTGGGTTAGAGTCTCCCTGACCGAGCTGGTCCCGGCAAAGCTGTAACCAATCTTACTGTTTCTGTACCTCACTTCCATTTTCTGTATGTCACTTTCCTTTTACTGTCCACAAATTTGCTTTGATAACACAGCATCCCTGGTGTCTGTCTGTATCTGCTGTGATTCTGAGGACTGCCCGATTTGCAAATCATTTATTTTTCTTGCTCAGTTAAACTCTGTTAAATTTAATTTGTCAGTGCATTTCTTTTAACAGAACTTATAATTAAAATGGGAAGAGGGTGTAAATATTTAGAAAACTTTCAGCCTGGCCATGTGGTAGACAAGTAGGAATCCAAGCAGCCTGCTGAGCAACTACTTGCTAGAGACATTACATGTCTGAAAGGGAGCCAGGTGCTAATATTCAAGACAGTGGGAAAAGGCCTCAGAGGCATTTCAGAAGGCCCCTTCTATCACAGGCCCACCTAAGAGGACTGAATAGTTTCAAAGACCAAGCCCAGGGCACCATTGCCCTACGTCATCTCAGGATGCTACTGCCCACATCCCAGCTTCTCCAGTTCCACCCCTGGCTCAAAGGGCACTAGGTACAGCTCAGACCACTGCTTTGGAGGGTACAAGACCTAAGCCTTGACAGCTTCCATATGGTTTTCTTTTTTCTTTTTTTGAGACAGAGTCTTGCCCTGTCACCCAGACTGGAATGCAATGGTACGATCTCGGCTCACTGCAACCTCTGCCTCCAGGGTTCAAGTGATTCTCCTGCCTCAGTATCCCAAGTAGGTGGGATTGCAGGCATGTGCCACCATGCCCAGCTAATTTTGTATTTTTAGTAGAGATGGGGTTTCACAATGTTGGTCAGGCTGGTCTCAAACTCCTGACCTCAGGTGATCTACCTGCCCCAGCCTCCCAAAGTACTAGAATTACAGATGTGAGCCACCATGCCCAGCCTTCCATATGGTTTTAGGTCTGCAGGCTTGCAGAATGCAAGAGTGAAGGAGGCTTGGGAACTTCCACCTAGATTTCTGAGGACGTATCGAAAAGCCTAGGTGCCCAGGCAGAAGCCTGCCACAGGGCAGAGATCCCACAGAGAGCCTCTACTAGGGCAGAGCCATGGGAAAATATAGGGTTGGAACCCCCATACAAGGTCCCCATGGGGATATTGCCTAGTGGAGCTGTGGGAATGGGGCCAATGCCCTCCAGACACCAGAAAGGTAGAGTCACCATCATCTTGCAACCTCAGCATGGAAGACCCACAGGCATTCAATCCCAACCTGTGAGAGCAGCGATGTTGGCTGCACCCAGCAAAGCCATAGACACAGGGCTGCTCAAGGCCTTCAAAGCCCACTCCTCTCACCAGTATGGAGTTAAGGAAGATTATTTTGGAACTTTCGGATTTAATGTTTGCCCTGCTGGATTTCAGACTTGTGTGGGGCCTGTTGCCTTTTACTTTTGGCCAATTTTTCCCTTTTGGAATGAGAATGTCTACCCAATACCTGTAACACAATTGTATCTTGGAAGTACGTAACTTGTTTTTGATATAACAACCTCATAGGTGGAAGGAATTTGCCTTGAGGCTTAGATGAAATTGTGGATTCTGGACTTTTAAGATGATGCTGGAACAAGGTGAGACTTTGGAGAACTATTAGGAAGGGATGGTTGCATTCTGCAATGTGAGATGACATGAGATTTGGGGGTAAGGGGCGCACTGATATAGTTCAGATGTTTGTTCTCTCCAAATCATATGTTGAAATATGACCCCCAAAGTTAGAGGTGGGGCCTAGTGGGAGGTGTTTTGGTCATAGGGGTGGATTCCTCATGAATGGCTTGGTGCTCTGTCCATGGTAATGAATGAGTTCTGGCTCTATTAGTTCACATGTAAGCTGGCTGCTTGAAAGCACCTGGCATCTCTCTTGCTTGCTTTCTCGCCGTGTGACACACCTGCTCCCCCTTCAGCTTCCACCATGAGTATAAGATTCCTGAGGCCCTCACCAGAAGCAGATGCCTGCACTATGCTTTTTGTACAGCCTGCAAAACCATGAACCAAATAAACCTGTTTTCCTTGTAAGTTACCCAGTCTCAGGGATTCTGTTATGATCCCCTGGAAGAGTTATACTATTTCCAGGTCTAGCCCATGGTAAATCCCACACTCCCCTCGGAGGCCACCTTCTTCCCTCTGCAGAGACCCTGGGGTTAGAGTGGATTGATTGTGTCTCTGGCCCCAATTCTTCTCCTGAGGCTGCATTCCACTTTTTTGCTATGTGACTTTGCAGCCCTTCTCACTACTGAGGCAGGTTCCTCTCTCGCCAAGTTTGGCGAAGATGCAACACATGCAGGGATTTGAAAACACATTTGTTTGTTTCTGCTTTTGTTTTTGCTTCTCTGCAATTTCCTTGAAACCATGCCTGAGCTAGCCTGTGGGAAAACGAAAAAGCATCATTGACCTAGTCTTTCAGCCAATCCCACTGCATTTGTACAGTGCAATCTGAGACCAGAGGAAATGCCCAGCCAAGCTCAGCCAAAATTGCTGACTCATGAGCTAAATATTTATTTCATTTTATGGTTGTTCTTAGCAGCATTATGCTGGCACTAGAAAAACGAAACAGATGGGACTCAAAAAAGACTGAATGAAGCAGAAACCCAGAAGCTACCCCACAAGCAATCACCTGGGACTCAGATGGGGCTGGACAATAAGCTTTTTTGCATTGAAAGGTCATTGCAGTGAAAGGTTGGGGATTGCTTGCTGTTACAGCTGAATGGATTCTATTCTGACCAATACACAAGGAAAGAGATCACAGACCCCCTGCCTGAGAAGAAGGGAGGCGGTAGATGAAATGAATTGTAATATGAGCCACTAGCCTGGCCCACATGCAGGAGAAGGACTGGCCCGTCTTCTGGAAGCCCATGCTCTGGTAGAGGGACAAGGCAGTGAGTTGGATGTTGCTGGTGTCCAGGACAACTGCACTGCAGTCCTGGTCCCGGGCAAACTGGAGGACAGTCCTGATCAGGGCTTTTGCTATCCCCTGACAACGGTGCTCACTGTCCACAGAGAGATGAAACAGCTGCAACCGCTTCTCCTTCAAGGTGGGATCATCAACGGGCAGAGCTCCTACCATGCCCACCACCTTCTCTTCAGACTCAGCCACCCAGAAGCAGGAGTCAGGCTCACTCAGGTAGGATTTGGTGATGTCAGACATGTCTGTGCGCAATACTGTGTCTACATAGTCCATCCAGGGTTTTTTGGCAAGGAACCACAGGGCAGGGAGGAGGCTGAGGCTGAACATGAGGGCCAGAAGCCAGGAGCCAGAGACCAGGAGTAGGGCGAGGGGTCCCCCAAGTAAGAGTATGAGGGTTCGAGGCAGCTTCAGCAATTGCCAGAAGGTGGCTGGGATGTGCTCAGCCATCCCCTGGGAGAGCAAGCGCACGACCCACTTGCGGTCGCTCTCCTGGTATTTGCGGATGTGATAAGGAGCCATGGACAGACTTCTGTGTCTGAAATCTCTAAGTCCAGGAGACAGAGTGAGGCCTCCCTGCACGCCTTTGTGCCAGGCCTGGGGAAGAGAGAAAATCATGTGAGTGCCTGCATGTCTCCCAGCCCTGCAGGAACAAGGAGACCTGCTCAAGGGTGTGTTTTTCCACTTTTGCCCATGAGGAAGCAGGCCTCTGCCACTGAGAGAACGTAGGGTCAGAAAGACCTACACTGGAATCTGGTTCCATCCCTTTCTAACTGTGTGACCTTGGGCATGTCACTTAACCTCTCTGAGCCTCCATTTCTTCATCTATAGAACAGGGAAGAAGAAAACCTGCCTTCTAGAGTTGTTTTGAAGATTGAATAAAATACATTCTATAAAGCCCTGATAGATGAACTACCCACCGCTCTTCCATCTGTTTCCTTTTTCTGGCTCTCTCAGCTTCTTGGTGCATTGAGAGGGCACCTACCTCAGGCAGGCCACACATCCAAAGCTTTGGTCCTTCTCCAGGGACCATACATCACAGAAATCCTGTGTCCAACACAAGTTTCAGGAAAGGCTCCCTCCAGCATTACTGTAAGTTCTTAAGTTGCTGAGGTGGCATAAGAGTCAAGCACAAAAAATAGCCCAGCCTCCAGATCCCAAGGAAGGTGCATGCTCAGAGCACTGTCCTTCCACCCAGTCCTCTCACCTGTCACCACAAGAGCCTTGAGTGTCCAAGCTTCAGCTCTCAGCCGCTCACTGGCATCCAGGAGATACTGTCCGGGGCTTGCCTACCCCTGCACAGCAGGCTGCCTGCCTCATTGGTTGGCTCCTGAATGTTTGGTAATCATAAACCCTAGGGTCAAAGAGCTGGACCGTAACACAGCAGGGAGCCCAGTGTGCATTCTCCTTTGTGGTCAAAGGGAATGACCTGGAAGGGGAGACTCAAGGTCTGGGATCGCCTGGGGTCCTTGCCCTTCTGGAAGGCCTGCCACCTCTCTTGGCTGTTCAGGCCCCGAGCATCTCTCTGCCACCTGGCACACTTGGTACTCTCTGAGATACACCCTGGTCCCTGTACACATATACCGCGAGCCTGAGAACTGTGCCATTCACCCTGTACTCATTCACCACTGAGCAGAAGCCGAGTCCCCAGGCTTGGCAAGAAGGCCCTCCCCAGCTAGGCTTCTCCCCACTGAGGTTTCCCTGGTCCACGAAGCATTGATAGTTGGCAGTTCCTTGCACTCACCTCACCAACTCCTGCCTCCACCCATTCATTGATTCAGTCAACAGTTGTGTGCGATGCACTTCCTGTGTCTGGGGGTCATTTCAGCCATGAGCAAGGTTGACATTCGGATGACAGACATGGCTGTGTGTGGCTGGTGTGTGTTCTGGCTGTTGGTCAGAGGCTGTGCCATACCCATTGTTAAATATTTTGCACTGCAGATGTTGGGGAGGCCCAAATTCATGCTCTTGTACCCGACGTAGAGCTGATGCCAAACACACACGTTGGGGCTTGGAGACAGAGAAAGTTTTATTCGATTTGGCCAAAGCAAGAAGGCAGGAGAGCAAGATCTCTCAAATTCACTTCAACAAAGAAGCAGCAGCAGAACGTTTTTATGCAGCTAGAGAGTGAGGAAGGGGGAGTTCAGGTGGATTGAGAGGAAAAGTCTGTGTTTCCTCAATCTCAGATAACACCTTGAGCAACCAGGCTTCTGGATGTCAGCAGCTGGTCACAGTGTCCTTCAAGGCATTCATTCCTTCTGCAAACTTTTCCTGACCCTGAAGGTATGTCTTCCTGCTGGGCAAAGAAACAGTACATAAGCAGTTTATCATTATATTGTGGGAACAAGGAATATTGGACCAAAAGCAAGTGGTTAACATATGCAAGCCAGCAAGGGCCTGATCAGAAGGCCCTAAAACATGCTGGGGTGCTGAAATCTCAAGGGGCCCGATTACAAGGATGAAATGTACACGAGATAGGCAAAAGCAAAACCTAACAGTAAAAGCCTGTTTCCACACCAAATTACATGCTATTGAAGGGAAAGCTCCCTTCCAAAGATTAGCTAACCTATTGATGATCAACCAAGCTGGGCCTGTCATCTAGGTTAGGTAGTTTGGACTCTATTCCAAGAGCAATGGGAGGACATTGATATGCACGGAGGGGAGGAGGGGTGTGTGTGTGTGTGTGTGTGTGGTGTGTGCGTGCACATCATTCTGGCTGCAGGTGGACAACAGATCTGAAGAGGTAGGAATGGAAGCAGCTACCCCTTATGGCTCGTTCAGCATCCAGGCAGGAGCAGGTCCCCCAGTACAGGGATGTGGGTGCTCACTGTACAAGAGCAGCTGGCCCAGAGGGGCTGGTGGGAGCTAAAATCGGGCCTCCCTCTGATTGCCAAGCCATGAGCCATGGCACGAAGCTCAGACTGGCCAAAGGAAAAGGCAACCTTTTCTTATTTGCTCAAGGGCATTGCTTGCCTGCTAAACTCTGCATCCAGTGGGCTGCATGGCTTGAGGCTGTGGGTAGCTCTGGATTCATAAAGAAGCCACCTGGGCAGCAGATGCCCATGTGACAGCAGTGGCTTCACCAGAAGGAGGAAGTCAAGAATGTGAGACATGAGCCACAGGGAGGTGCATTTGGGGACAGAAATGGCAGGAGTTGGAATTATTCACACAGGGATCAGGATGAGGAAGGGCTCAGAGACAACAGCCAGGTTTCTGGTTGGGGCATTCAGGAAAACACTGGAGAGAGCCCAGACTTGGAAAAGTCAAGGCTTCCCCTAAAGCTGCTGCCCTGCAGCCTTCTTCAGCAGAAACTAGAAGCTGGGAGCCAGCAGCAGGAACTCGGGGCTAGTGGGTGGAGGCTGCTGAGATTCCAGGTCTTTGGCACCCAACACCACTTCCAAGGAAAAGTCTAAGGAGCATCAAGTCTGGGCAGTAAGTCCATGGCTCATCTTTAGAGTATTCTCAGAACATTTCAGTGTCAAGCAAGAGTTGGCCTAGGAATCACAAGAGGTGAGCAGCTGCTCCAAAGCACCACTGAGTACTGCTAGTGTGAGTCTGACCAATATTCAGAGTTAGAAACCTGCCAGTCACATGGAGGGGGAGAGGTTTGTGCTCTGTCCCTGTGTGCTATCTCTCCCTCCATGCTTGCTGGTGGCTGTGGCTTCCTCAAAACACAACCACCTCAGTTGACATTCAGTCATCTCTTGCTCCCAGGATTTAGGAGAGTAACTTCTGTATTTGTGTAGCTTTCCTGATAGAAGCCTGGACTTTCCTTGTCAGACCTGAAAGAGTTATTTATTCATTCAACAAACAGTGGCCGAGGGTGTATGGTGTGCCAGACCTGGAATTGGCATGAAGGCACTAGATGTCAGAAGCCAGGCTGCTGCCCAGGAGGACACACCTGATGGGGCTCTGGGAACAGGATGATGGTGGAGACATCACGTCCAGAATAACTTTGTTAGGATGGTGAACTTGACAGTTAGGACTTTTATGTTGCACTTGTTGAAAAGCCACCTAAAATTGCCATAAGTAAGAGAGGTGATCTAATGGCCCATGAAACTGCCAACTCCAGGAAGACAGACAGGGTGACCTGACAGTAGGTTTGACATGTTGGTTTTTCTGCCATTCTGTGCGTGGCGTCAGCTTCCTCCCAAGACTGACACTACATAGGACATTAGGTGTTTGCCAGCCCAGTTGAAGCTGTCTGCTTCCTTGCTCACCACCAGCAGAAAGGTGGGGTCTATGCCCCGCATTCCAGGTGACAGCGAAGGTTTATGTGGGGACTCAGTCACACTTTCCGGAGACTGTACATTTCATAGCAGAATCCAGGTTATATGAAAGGAGTCCTGGCCCAAGGATACCTGCACCCCATAGAGATGGAGAACCCCAGGGAGCACAGGGGCTGAGGGGCTGAGTGACAGGGAGCACTGCCCACAGAGGGGGCATCCTGCAATCAGGAAGGGTAGGAAACGGGTGCAGATCAGCAGCCAACAGAGGCCCACCCAGGTGAGCACAGGTGGAGTTGCTGGTGAGGTGAAGAGTGTGCTGGTCGGGAGGGGAGGGCTGGGGACCAGTAGCCGGTTTGGGAAACCAAAGCTGGGCAAAGGGTGTGCCAAGGCCTGCAGTGGGGCCTGTTAACAAAAACATCAAACTGTTAAATGATCTGAAAGAGGTATTTTCTGAGCCAATATGCGTGACCATGGCCTGGGGATCTCAAGAGATCCTGAAAACGTGTGCTGGGGCAGTCGTTTTCTACATTTGAGGGGACAGGAATTGGAGTAACATCCTAAATCCATCCATGGAAGGTATACATTGACTCTGTCTAACACGGTGGGATATCATGAAACGGCGGGGGACATTATAGGTCACAGGTGGATTCAAAGATTTTCCAGTTGGCAATTGGTTGAGAGTTCAGCTTTGTCTAAAGACGTGAAGTTGGTACAAAGGAATGCTTCAGTTCAGAGAGAGGGTCTGCCTCTGCCATGTGATGCTGTCCCAGAGTCAGGTAGGAAAGTCAACCACAGCATCCTGGGTCAATTTAAAACCCATTGAAGGAGACTGTGGTTTCTAGGGTGTGTGTTAATTCTTGCCTTGCAAGGCCTTAAGTCTTCATTTTCAATTCCTAAATAAAGGGATGAGTCCTGGAGCTTCTGGAAGCTGGCCTGGAGCTGAGCACTTGCCACAGACAATGCCCAAAGTGCAAACCCAAAGGCGCGTGGATCTGGGCTGCATGTGAAAGCTTTCATGTTCAGGTCTTACTTTGCGACAGTGAGGGGTGACCGGGGAAGCCTACATGAGGGGTGGGGGCCGACCAGCAGCCCAGCCTGGGGAACTGCCTTAACCGCATCTCACCTCACTTCCTCAGGGTTCAGGTTTTCTTGAAGGGAACATGCAGATTTGTACAAAATACCAACAAGCTGAGATTTTAATTTTTTTAGCAATAAGGAAAAATAGAAATTTTCACTCCAAGCACCCCATGTTAAGCTCGGCCGAACTGGTGGCACATCTCAGGAGTCATGGGGCAACGCTTTCAGAAACAGTGTTAGGGCAAAAAGCAAAAGCAAAAAAAAAAAAAAAGACAGTGAAGAGGCTTAATTCTTCTTGTTAAGGGAAGAGGTGTCCTCTGTCACTTTTCTTAGAGCATTTTCTTTAGAAAACTTGTCATTTTAAATCCTTCCTCTGCCCCTTTGAGGGACATGCAAAGCTTTTTGACAGCTAAATAAGCCTTTTGCCAGTTTTGCAAGGTCTATGTCCCTGAAGGACCTGGGAGTCCAGTCTTTGAAACGTTATCATCAGAGCAGCCAGGGCCCTGTCTCCCAGTCTCCATGGGAGGGCGGGAACCTAACTTTTGCCCTATGTGATAAATCAACTTCTATCGTAAAGATAAGGGTTGTTTTTCCTTTATATGAAGTAAAATAGCAGATGCAGGTTGTTGAGTGAATTGAGGTTGAATCTCTGATGAACCTGGTGTGACCAAAAGTGCTGTGCAGTCCCCTGACCTGAGGACTAGGCATGGCTTCTCTTGAGAATGTGTGCAATGGTTTGGACCCCCTGGCTAGATTAGCGGTGAGATTTTTTTCTGTCTTTGCAGCGTCTTAGCGGATCATTGCCTGTGTTGCGCATCTCGCTCTGGGTTAATGCTTTTTCAAGGATAAAAGCGTTGTTCTTTCTCTTCTTCCTCTGCAGAGAGGCTTGCTGGGATGGGAGAAGATTTTATTTGTAATTCCATTTCTCCATGACCAGAGGATGGGCTCTGGGGGTCAGGCAGCTGGGAAGAAGTTTAGAACCCATGCCTAGGCCTTCCCCAAGGCTCATGCACTCAGTTCAGCAGTATCAGAAACACTACCTGGAAGACCCCATACTGTCTGGAAAGAGGAATTCATTTTCTTTCATTGCTGACACTCCTGGGTGAGTGTGTGTGGTGGTTACCCATACCCTAGTCCCACCCTGTGCCCCTCCTCCACCTCAGGGGGCCCCAGGAGGCCTGGCCCTCCTAGACCAGGGCACCCCCAAGGGAGACTGGGGGTTGGGGGTCCCACCAGGGTGCCAGGTGTTGGTCAAAGTGAATGTGAACTAGAAGGAAGGAGATGGAGCCCTCTCCTGGGAACCGGACAGGGACAGGGATGGGGTGGGGGTGCCAAAGAAGCCATGGCTCTGGACTGGGGCCGCCAACCTGCCCAGGCAGCTGGGGCTGACTCCTTGAAGTTGCATTTCTGACTCCCCCTCCCACATGCAGGCTCTTGGCCCACTGAGGCCTAGAGGCAATGGCAGGTTCACTGTGGGCAGGGTTGGGGGCATGGGGTGCCCTGGGGAGCTGGGGGTTCCTGTGGAGCAGTGGTATGGGTCCCACCCTGGCCACCCCATCTGCCCAGGCTCCACATGTGCCCCTGCTCCCCCTGGAAAGACCCTTCTCTGTCCCGCTGGTGCACCCCTCCCCTCAACTGGGCCTCCACCAGGGAGAAGGGCCCGAGTTCTGCCGAGGCGTCCCTCTGAGTGACCACCCACACCTGAGCCATCAGTCAGGTCCCTGCAAGGGAGCTGCCCCTGGGCCTGTGCTCCCCCGCCCCTGGCTGGCTGCACCTGGGCTCCAGATACATGTCCCCCGGCCAGACCCCATTGCTCGGTTAGGCCCTTCTCGCCACCCCTCAGCTCTTCTCCCTAGGGAACAGTATCATCACCAACTTCTCATATCCTGTCACCGTCCACCAGGAGAGCAGGGGCGGAGGACCCCGCTCGTGCATAACTGGTCCCAGGCAGCCGACCTGGGGCTCCACGGCTCTTGCTGCCGCTGGAAGTCGGGCCAAGGCTGGTGGCACACACAGGTGTGTTCCTGCTGTCAGGGGAACACAAGACAAGGCTGTTTGGCCTTGGGCTGATCTTTAGCCCTGGACCACCCAGCCCCAGGTACTTTAGGCCAATCTGCTGATAAGGCCATAAGTGCCTGATAACCAATCAGCAGGGTACCCTCCCGGCAGCCTCAAGGGTGACTGGGTTTCTACCACACCCTAATGCCAGGTCTTCCTCTCAGCAAGTTCTACCCAGAATACCCTATTTCACAATGTACTTCACCACTAGCCCACCTGGCCATGCCCTATCCCCATAACTGGCTCTGAGTTTTCTTGTTACCTTCTAACCTGCTCTAAATGCTAAGGATATGCATCTGTTGTTGATTTCTATTTAATAGGCTCTGCAAGCAGGGATCTTTGGCTCTTCGGTTCACTCATGTATGTTAAGTGCCCAGAACAAGCCTGGCAGGTAGTAGGTGCTCAGTAAGTACATGTTGAGTGAGTGAACAATAGACAAGCAGTTTGTGTATTCCCAGTAGGGCAGGAACAGGGAAGAGAAACATTTTATTGGGAAGCTAACAAAGCTTAGGCTTCAAAGTTCCTCTTTCCCCTGCACCAGCCCCTTACAAAAAACAAAAAAACCTTCTGTGGTTTTATAATTTTATATTTTGAAAACAGGCTCCAAAACGTATTTGCCTCAGGCTCCAGAAAACCTGGATCTTCCTTGAGGGTCGTGCTGCCTACTGGGTGAAATATAGATTTTAACGTCAAACAGAGCTGCGTTCAAATCCTAGCTCTGCCTCCTGCAAGTGTCTTAACCTCTCTGAACCCCCCTCTCCTAATTTGTACAAGAGGAGTAATATCCCCACATGTGTAAGACTCAACAGGGTGGGAAGGGCACGTTTGCAGTAATGACTGATTGTATCTAACCTGAATATTCATATATGCATTCCACAGTTTCTTTTGTATGTATCCATTATAACATAATTTTAAAAACTGATGACAAGATCTGGTTTTCAAAACCTTTCTTTATTCTTTGTGGAATAAAGTTCATGGTACAAATATCGACAGAGTCGAAGGCTTCTGTGATGGGTCAAGTGAGATGGGGCCTGGGAAGTGACTGATATTGACCACAGGATGCAGCAACATGGGGATGACTGATGACCTTGACAGGAGCAGCATTGGTTCAGTGGTCCCCAAAGACCTCCGGACAGGGGAAGGTTTCACAGGAGAGGAACTGGAGCTGAGTGCAGAGGACACTGTGGAGCAGTTTTTCCACAGAGTGAAACAAGGAGATGCCTGGCAGCTGCGGAGGAAGGTGCAGTCAAAAAGGTTTGTTACAGAACTACTGTCTGACTCAGCAATCCCATTACTAGTATACATCCAGAGAAATATAAATCGTCCTACCATAGAGATGCATGTGAATGTTCACTGCAGCAGTATTCACAATAGCAAAGATGTGCAATCAACCTAGAGGCCCATTAATGACAGAGTGGATAAAGAAAATGTGGTACATATACACCATGGAATACTATGCAGCCATTAAAAAGAACAAGATCATGTGTTTGCAGGAACATAGATGGAGCTGGAGGCCCGTATCTTTACCAAACTAACACAGGAACAGAAACAAGACTGGGCGCGGTGGCTCACGCCTGTAATCCCAGCACTTTGGGAGGCCGAAGTGGGCGGATCACCTGAGGTCGGGAGTTCGTGACCAGCCTGACCAACATGGAGAAACCCCGACTCTACTAAAAATACAAAAAAAAATTAGCCAGACTTGGTGGCGCATGCCTGTAATCCCAGCTACTTATGAAGCTGAGGCAGGAGAATCACTTGAACCCAGGAGGCGGAAGTTGTGGTGAGCTGAGATCATGCCATTGCACTCCAGCCTGGGCAACAAAAGTGAAACTCTGTCTCAAAAAGGAAAAAAAAAAAAAATCAAACACCACGTGTTCTCACTCATAAGTGGGAGCTAAATGATGAAAACTTATGAATACAAAGAAGGAAACAACAGACACTTGGAAACAACAGCCTTCTTCAGGGTGGAGAGTGGTAGGAAGGAGAGGAGCAGAAAAAATAATTATTGGGTACTAGGTTTAGGAAATGGGTGATGAAATAATCTGTACCATAAACCCCCATGACATGAATTTACCTATATAACAAACCTGCACCTGTACCCCTGAACCTAAAATAAGAGTTAAAAAAAGGTTTTGCTTTCTGGTATGTAGGTGAAATAATTGTTTGCTGAAGAGATCCAGAGGCAAGCCAAACAGTGATGGTATAGGGGTGGGGGTACATTTGGGACAGTGCTCTTGATTGGTTGGGAGGGGCTGGCCTATAAGAGACAGTCATGCAAAAGGGGCAGGCAGGAATGTGAACAGGGACTGACAATGTGTTATGTGCTGCCATTGCCTCTTCTGTTGTGTTTTGGTTTTTAACAATGAACTTGGAAGGCATATTATCAACTAAGAGTGAGGGTCAGGAAACAGGCGTTGTATCTTCGAGGGGGAGAGAAAGGATAAGCAGTTGTCCAGCAGTTGCCTCTTCTGTTCAGTAAGGACAGAATCTGACAGGGTGGAGCTGGAGGAGAAGAAGAGAGCCAATGAGGAGCCAGTTCTGTGATGAAACTTAGGCTTCCCAGGCTCAGTATCACCATGCACCATCTGAACTCCATCCTTATCTATAACCCAGCCTTCTTCTATGCCCGGTACAAAGCACCCCTTACACTCAGACACGCACAGGAAGGCACTTGCTAATTGGAGGGAAGACTCACTCACTCTGTCCCTGGGCTCCACTCCAAAGGTGGCCGGTGCAGCTCTCTCACCTCCAATATCTGACCTTTCATGTGTGGCTTCTTTCAGTTAATGTTTTCAAAATTCATTCATGTTGCATCATGCATCAGTACTTCATTCCTCTTTAGGGCTCAATAATATTCCGTGTATGTTTATACTGCACTTTCTTTATCCATTCATTCGTTGATGGACATTAGGGTTGTTTCTACTTTTTGGTTATTGTGAATGGTGCTGCTGTGAACATTCACGTACGAGCAGTTGTTTGAATACCTATGATCAATTCTTTCGATGTATACCTGAGAGCAAAATTGCTGGTTCATATTTTAATCCTGTGTAACATTTTGAGGAAATGACAAACTGTTTTCCAAACTGTCAGCCGTAGTTTACTTTCCCACCTGCAGTCAGTCTAATTTTACTCCACTGCCTGCCTCAGCCTACTGCCTAGAACATAAAGGGAAGAAGCAATAGCTGTTTTTCACCAAGAAGTTATTAGATGCCTGGCACTGTGAGAAAGACGGTTTCCCACGTCGTGCAATTTCATGTTCACAACAGCCTTGGAGCTAAGGTTGGTATTATTAACATCCCCATTTGGCAAATGGGAAACTGAGGCCCAGAAACCTGAGATTTCCTCTCCACGGCCCCACATGGGAAGTGAAAGCTCAAACCTAAGGTAGCTCTGGCCCCAAAGCCTGCACGGTTTTACTTTTTCAGTACAGTGTGCTGACCCTGCAGGCAGGGGTTTGACAAGTGTTTAGTGAGTCTGGAATTCGCATAAAGCCTCACAAGCCCAGAGAAGCAGCTCTGTCTGGAGGTGCGTAAGATTCACCAGTAAGGCCCCATCACCCCCATCCTGTTGCCAGTGGTCAGGACATACTTGGCCAAATTCCCATATGTGACTAAGGCTCTATTTCTTCTTCAAGATCCAGTTTAGTGCTACCTGCCCCGTCCACTTCTGATCACCCAACCAGATGAATCGGGTCCCAGTCCCTCTCTCCTTTAAAGCCTTTGCATTTCTCATTAAGCACTTGTATTGCTGCTGTTTCTTGCTTACTTAATAATTAACTTGCCATAGTTAGTTAGACTAGACATTAACAGTTTAACTACTCTGATAAACTATTTTATGTGTCTTTCTATTGCTCGCAGGAACCTGATTATAATAGCTCATTGCATTGTTGGAGTCGCTGTTATTCCCAGAGCTGTGGGGTTTGAGAGCAGTGTGTCAGTGCCACCCCATGCTGCATCCAGGAAGATCTCTCCTCCACTGGATCAGCCCAGCTGGAAAGTGGCCAGTGAGACGGAAGATGGACAATCCAGCGGCAGTACATTCTGGAAGTCTCAGGGGGAAGAGAAAAATCGATTTAACTACGTTAAACCTACATTTAACGTAGGTTCCTGGAAAGGACATAATCTCCCCCGATCTCTCATCAATAACCCAACATCAGATCAGTGCCCTGGACTTATCGTTTGAAGGGGAATGAAAGTAGACAGATAGGTCTTCCTTGGTTAGATGTCCCGAAATCTGAGGGCGATGGTCCTAGCTCTTCAGAGAGGACACATTCTTTAACCTAACCTTTTAACAAGTTCTCTACAGGAGAAGATACCAGGTCCCAACACTTCAAGTAGCTTTATAGACATAGGTAATCGAAGGACTAATTATGAAGGTGTAGATAGGTAGAGGGGAGCAACAAGGATGGCACAGGAACCCATAGTCTGAGGAGGAGGGAGAGTCATTGGAACCTGAAAGGACCTGGGCAGAGCAGGCTGTCCTGAGAGCTGGCCTAGGGCCAAGGCACAATCAATACCAAGCCTGCCTCATGCTCTCTTCCCTCCACTCCTCAACTTGCTGCTGGCTTTCAGAAAAGTTAAAAACTTGCCGTTTCTATCCTTTTGCCATTGTTGTCATGTTATAAGGTGGGGAGCAATATTGTATCCAACTTTCTAGTTATCGAAGTGGAAATCAGGTGTATATAGCCAGTATATTTGCACCTATTAGTATTCTTATTGGTAATGCTTTCTAGATGTTATCTAACTGTAGCTTTGCATTTTCTATTTGATTCAAAAGACATGTAAGAGATAACTTTTTCATAATTCCATGTTGGATTTATTGTCATTATTTATTAAGTTATAATTTTAATGTATTGTGATTAGATAGAGACTGTACTGTGTTCTATTTGTGTTTTAAGGATACATACAGGTTTTCTTTGTGGCTAAATATAAGTAATCCATGGGTGTTTTTTTGTTTTTTTTTTTTGAGACGGAGTCTCGCTCTGTCACCCAGGCTGGAGTGCAGTGGCCGGATCTCAGCTCACTGCAAGCTCCGCCTCCCGGGTTCACGCCATTTTCCTGCCTCAGCCTCCCGAGTAGCTGGGACTACAGGCGCCTGCCACCTCGCCCGGCTAAGTTTTTGTATTTTTAGTAGAGACGGGGTTTCACTGTGTTAGCCAGGATGGTCTCAATCTCCTGACCTCGTGATCCGCCCGTCTCGGCCTCCCAAAGTGCTGGGATTACAGGCTTGAGCCACCGCGCCCGGCCCATGGGTGTTTTAAAGAAGGTAGAGTTTCCAATAGACTATGACATTGCAGTCACTGTCAGATTCCACACAACATTTCAGTCAGCCACAGAACATATAAATGACAGCAGTCCCATGAGATTATAATAGTATATTTTTCCTACACCGTTTCTTTATGTAGATATTTTAGATACACAAATACCACTGTGTTAAAATTACCTACAGTATTCAGTAGAACACCATGCTGTACAGGTTTGTAGCCTAGGAGCAACCTGTACCTGATAGCCTAGACGTGTAGTCGGCTGCGCCATCTAGGTTTGAGTAAGCATACGCTATGAAGTTCACACAAAATGAAATCACCTAATGATGCATTTCTTAATATACATCTATTAAATCATTTTATTAATTACATTAATTATATTCTTCCTGAATATTGATTTTCTTAATCTGTTGAGAACTTCAAAGAGTATATTTTAAGTTAATTGAATGTATCTTTTGTTAATTGAATGGTTATATGCGTGTGTATACACACACACACACACACATATATATATATATATTTTTTTTTTTTTTTTTTTTTGAGAAGGAATCTGACTCTGTCACCCAGGTTGGAGGCAGTAGCACGATCTTGGCTTACTGCAACCTCTGCCTCCTGGGTTCAAACGATTCTCCTGCCTCAGCCTCCCAAGTATCTCGGACCACAGGTGTGCACCACCACACCCGGCTAATTTTTGTACTTTTAGTAGAGATGGGGTTTCACCACGTTGGCCAGGATGGTCTCAAACTCCTGCCCTCAAGCGGTCCACCCGCCTTGGCTTCCCAAAGTGCTGGGATTACAAGCACAAGCCACCGCACCCAGCCTGGTTATATAGATTTTTATTTTATGTCTGGCACATAAATATTAATGGCATGAATATTAATGACACTTTTTTCACTGCAAATCGTACCATAAATCATATAAAGGAACTTTTGTTTTACATTTTGAATATGTTTTGCCTTTGTTTCTACTTCATCCAATACAGTTTTTTAAATGTGGATTTGCACCATTGCTCTTTGTCCATCCTTTTACTTTTGGCTTTTCTCAGTCACTTTGCTCAAGTGTAAGAAGCAGCTACTTGAATTTAACTTTTTTTCCCTCACCCAATTTGAAGGTCTTTTTTTGAAGTGAGTTCTACTTAAGTTCATTGTTGTAACAAGTATGTTTGGTTTAAATTTTTTCATTTTCCTTTTTTTTTTTTTTTTTTGTCCTCCTCTGGTAAACGTATTAAGTTAATGTTTGTTTAACTAAATTCCATTTCATTCCCTCGTCCTCCTCCCCCAGCTTCTGGTAACCACCATTCTACTTTCTGTCTCTGTGAATTTGTCGATACCAAGTCTGGAAGATAAGAAATATCTTTTAATTCCTGATTTGGTGTTATTAGTGAAATAAAATATCTACCCTTTAGTGACTGACTTATTTCACTTAGCATAAGATCCTTAAGATTCATCCATGTTGCAGCATGTGACAGAATTTCCTCCCCTTTTAAGTCAGGATAATTTTCCATGGGTTGTGTGTGCCACATTTATTTATCCATTCCTCAGTGGATGGGCATCTGTGTTGCTTCCACCTTTTGCCTATTGTGAGTTGTGCTGCTGTGAACATGGGTATGCTAATAGCTTTCTGAGTCCCTGCTTACTGTGCTTTTGAAGACATACTCAGAAGAGGGATTGCTGAATCAAATGGTGGTTCTAATTTTCACTTTTGGAGGAACCTCAATACTGATTTCCAGAGCAATTGTGCCATTTTACAATGACACCAACAGTGCACATGTGACTCATTTTCTCCACATCCTCACCAACACCTGTTATTTTCTTTTTTTTTTTTTTTGTAATAGCCGTCCTAGTGGGTGTGAGGTGATATTTAATTGTTGTTCTGATTTGCATTGCTCTGATGATTAGTGATAACAGAGTATCTTTTCACATGCTTGTTGCATTTGTATATCAACTCTGGAGAAATGTCTATTCAATTTCTTTGCCCATTTTTGGTCAGCTTATTGATTTTGTTGTCCTTGTAGAATTCTGAGAGTTATTTGTGTATTGTGTATATCAAATCATGATCTGCAAATATTTTCTGCCATCCTATAGGTTATCTTTTACTCTGTTGATTGTGTCCCCTGATGCACAAGTTAAGCCTGGTGTGGTCCTATTTGTCTATTTTTGCCTTTGTTGCCTGTGCTTTTGGTGTCATATCCAAGAAAGCATTGCCACATTCAATGTCACAAAGCCCTTCCTCTATGTTTTCTTCCAAGACTTTTTATAGTCTGTAGTCCTAGCTACTCAGGAGGCTGATACAGGAGAATCACTTGAACCCAGGAGGCAGAGGTTGCAGTGAGCCAAGATCATGCCACTGCACTCCAGCCTGGACAACACAGCAAGACTGTCTCAAAAAATGAAAATGACCATATATATGAGAGTTTATTTCTGGGCACTTTAGCATATTTCATTGGTCTGTTCATCTGTCTTTATGCTACTATCACACTGTCTTGATTATTGCACCTTTGGTAATATGTTTGGGTTTTTGGTTGTTGTTGGTTATTTTGGTTTGTTTGTTTTTTGTAGAGATGGGGTCTCACTATGTTTCCCTGGCTGATATCGAACTTCTGGGCTCAAGTGATCCTCCAGTCTTGGTCTCCAGAAGTCCTGAGATTATAGATCTGAGATGCTGTGCCCAGCCAGTAATATGTTTTAAAATCAGGAAGTGTGAGTCCTCCAGCATTGTTGTTCTCTTTCAAAATTGTTTTGGGTGTTCAGGATATCTTATGATTTTTACTGATTTCTTGCCATTTCCAATCTTTTTTGCTTCTTCTTCTTCTTCTTTTTTTTTTTTTTGGAAGTGCTGAAATTACAGGTGTGAGCCACCGTGCCCAGCCCCTTTGCCCATTTTTACAAATAGAATTATTTGATTTTTGCTTTTTTAATTTTTACATTTCCTTACAGATTCTGAACATTAGATCTTTGTTGGATGCATAATTTCCTAATATTTTCTCTCATTCTGTGAGTTGTCTCTTCATTGATAATTTATTTTACTGTACAGAAGCTCTTTAGTTTAATTAGGTACAAATCATCAATTTTTTTATTTTATTATAATTGCTGTTCAGGACTTAGCCATAAATTATTTTCCAAAGGCAATATTGAGAAGGGTAATTCCTAGGTTTTCTTCTAGGATTTTTATAGTTTGAGGTCCTCCATTTAAATCTCTAATGTATCTTGATTTTAAAAAATATAGTGAGAGGTAAGGGTCCAGTTTCTTCTATATATGGCTAGCCAGTTATCCCAGCACCATTTATTGAATACAGAGTTGTTTCCTCATTGCTTACTCTTGCCAATTTTTTGAAGGTCAGATGGTTGTAGGTGTGCAGGTTTATTTCTGAGTTCTCTATTCTGTTCCATTGGTCTATTGGTCTGTTTTTGTACCAGTACCGTGCTGTTTTGGTTTCTGTAGCCTTATAGTATAGTTTGAAGCTGGGTAATGTGATGCCTTTGGCTTTGTTCTTTTTGCTTAGGATTGCTTTGACTATTTCAGTTCTTGTTTGGTTCCAAATGAATTTTAGAATACATGTTTCCAATTCTGTGAAAAATGCTATTGCTATTTTGATAGGGATAGCACTGAATCTGTAAATTGCTTTGGGAAGTATGGCCATTTTAACAATAATATTGATTCTTGTCATCCATAAGCATGGAATTTTTTCCATTTATTTGTCATCTCTGATTTCATTCAGCAATGTTTTATAGTTCTCCTTGTAGAGATCTTTCACCTCCTTGATTAGGTATTTCATTTTTTGCAGTTATTGTAAATGGGATTGTGTTCTTCATTTGGTTCTCAGCTAGAACGTTATTGATGTAGAGAAATGCTACTGATTTTGTATCCTGAAACTTTACTGAATTTGTTCATCAGTTCCTGGAGGTTTTTGGTGTAGTCTTTAAGGTATTCTATGTAACTCATATCATCAGCAAAGAGAGATAGTTTAACATCTTGTTCTCCTATTTGGATGCCTTTCACTTCTTTCTCTTCCATAATTGCTCTGGCTCAGACTTTCAGTACTAGAAGTGGTGAGAATGGGCATCCTTGTCTTATTCCAGTTCTCAAGGGGAGTACTTCTAACTTTTGCCTATTCAGTATGATATTGGCTCTATGTTAGTCATAGATAGCTCTTATTATTTTGAGGTGTGTTCCTTCAATGCATTGTCTGTTAAGGGTTTTTATCATGAAGGGGTGTTGGATTTCATGGAAAATGTTTTGCGCATCTACTGAGATGATCATATGGTTTTTAAATTCTGTTTATGTGGTGAATCACATTTATGCATTTGCATATGTGGGATCAACCTTTCATCCCAGGAATAAACTATACTTGATGGTGGTGAATGAACTTTTTTGATGTGCTTCAGGATTCAGTTTGCTAGTATTTTGTTGAGAATTTTTGTATCTATGTTCTTCAGTGATATTGGCCTGAAGTTTTCTTTTTTCATCGTGTCTCTGCCAAATTTTGATATCAAGATGATGCTAGCCTTGTATAAGGAGTTAGGGAGAAGCCCCTTCTCCTTG